TTTCGAGGCTGGAAGCACCGAACAGTTAAAATGTGTAATATTTTAAATAATCATTATAAAATTATGCTGATGCTTATGCTGTCTGAGGTGTGTAAAGAGGGAATAACAACATCACAAGGCATAACTCCATTGAGATTGAGAGGGACACCAATCTACACTAGCTGAAGGTCTGGCCCATGCCCTTTTAATCTAGGATCAAGTGTAGCAATCTTTTAGATCAAAACCAGCAGGGTTATATCTTGCCCCAGGGATACAGACTCTGTGATCTGTTACATTTCCGTTTCTTGAGAAATGCTGATCCTATCCTGCATTTGATAGGTCATGTCATTTCTTTCCATCATGTAGCATTATTTTGCATGGCACACATACGGCGAGAGGGGGGAGAGAATGGTGCATAAGGAATGGTATTGGGATAATCATGTTGAGACATTATGGAGACAGACTGGGGTCATGTGATACTCTGGTACAGTATAATGTTCATTATCTCAATTATTTATCCTCCCTCCTGGAATATTTCTAAAACAAATCCGACCATGTGTTTTGAAGTTGGGTTTTGTAGAGTAAAATCACAACTCCTTACTCAAGATTTAGTTGGAAAAAAACTCCACCTAATGCACCAACTAGGAATACAAGAGAAATAAATGATGGTGCCACGCTGCAACAGATGATGAATTTATGCAGACCTGGAAGGAGTCTCTTCAGGGATTCCAGTTCAGAGAGCATGTAAGATTTGCCACAATGAATTCAGTGTTGAATGTGAAATGATGATGTGAGATCCTCCGAGCTGGCTTTAATAATGCAAAAGGCATTCTCCCTGATCAGAAAACTTGACCTTATGGGCTCCATTTTTGGATTCAATGAGTTGTTTTTTGGATCAGATCTCTAAATACTTAATTTCATAGTAAGTGGATACAGAAAATATGTATTTGCTTGATTCCTCCCGTTCCCCCTCCCCCACCCCACCCTAAGGACTGGATACAGTCCCCTGGTAGTAAACAGATTCAACATTAGGCTAGAGTACTAGAAGCTGTCTTGCTGTTTTGTTTCATCTAAGTATGTTTTGAGTGTACATGTAGTAATAATACTTAGCATTTATCTAGCCCAGGGATCAGCAACCTTTGGCACGCGGCCTGCAGGGTAAGCACCCTGG